AGCAGATACCCAGCCCAGCCTGCCACTAGGACCCTTCCTGCTCCGAACATCAGTGCCCTTGGCCATGGACCGCACAGTAGTGCTGATTACTGGCTGCTCCTCTGGAATCGGCCTGCACTTGGCTGTTCGTTTGGCTTCTGACCCGTCCCAGAGCTTCAAAGGTATAGGAGGGGACAGGCATGGAGGCCAGGGAAGAGCCCCCACAGGTAACAGGGTGATGAGTCATTTATCACCTCCCAAATTTTAGTATATGCCACACTGAGAGACCTGAAGACTCAGGGACCACTGTTGGAGGCAGCCCGGGCTCGAGGATGCCCTCCTGGCTCCCTGGAGACGCTGGAATTGGATGTCAGGGATGCAGAATCTGTGGCCGCTGCCCAGGCTCGTGTGACTGAGGGTCGTGTGGACGTGCTGGGTGAGCCTACCTGAAATACATGTAATAGGCTTTACTACCCAGTGTCCAACCAGACCGGGAAGTCCCGAGTTCAGGGAACATGGGAGGGCAAGCTGGAGATAGGACAGAGCCATGCATGAGCAACGGTGGTGTCTGTCCTCTCTCCCTGCAGTGTGTAATGCCGGCCGGGGCCTGTTCGGACCGCTGGAGGCGCATGAGCTGGACGCGGTGGGTGCTGTGCTGGACGTGAATGTGGTTGGAACAATTCGGATGCTGCAGGCCTTTCTGCCAGACATGAAGAGGCGCCACTCCGGGCGTGTGCTAGTGACTGCGAGTGTAGGAGGCTTGATGGGTGAGCAAAAGGGACCGAGTGAGTAAGTAAGGGGTGCTGAGCAGGGCGAGGAGCGCCAGGGCCTCTGCAACCTTGACTCCCCTCCTAGGGCTGCCGTTCCACGAAGTTTACTGCGCCAGCAAGTTTGCGCTCGAGGGTTTGTGCGAGAGTCTAGCGATCCTGCTGCCGCTCTTTGGAGTCCAGTGAGTCACCAGTCTTCCACAATCCTCTGAAGTTTGGGAACTCCAAACTTGAAGACACTCTTGAGCAATGCCTCTTGCCCTCCTTTTCCAGTTTACATTGTGTGCTAGGTGCTATGCAGGGAGCTTGGCACAGGTTATCTCACTTCACAAGCCTCCCTAGCTTTAAGGCACATTGGGATGGATAAACAGAGCGAGTTGGTGACTAGACTCCAGAGCGCTCTGGCAATGGGCCCAGTCCCTCTCAGTGCCCTCCCTTTGTGGAGCTAAGGTTAGGCTTGTGGTCACAGCCACTAACCAGTCACTGCTGTTGCCCCCGCAGCGTGAGCCTCATCGAGTGCGGGCCAGTGCACACAGCCTTCTTTGAGAAGCTAGAGGGTGGTCCGGGCGGGGCTCTGGAGCGTGCAGATGCCCAGACCCGCCACCTCTTCACGCACTACCAGCGTAGTAGCTATGAGCAAGCTCTGAACGAGGCACAGGACCCAGAGGAGGTGACAGAGGTGGGTGCAAACGGGGGACTCCTGGCACAGTCTCCGGGTGGGGCGTGGCGGTGCACCCCCCAGTGGTTCCCGGTTCCCCCACAGACCGGTGCTGCTCTTCCCGCCGCAGCTCTTTCTGACCGCGCTGCGAGCCCCGCGGCCAGCCCTGCGCTACTTCTCCACCCACCGCTTCCTGCCGCTGATCCGGCTGCGCACAGAGGATCCCAGTGGCAGCAGCTACGTCGCTGCCATGCACCGCGAGACCTTCGCTGACCTGCAGGCGCAGGAAGGCTCCGAGGCAGGGGCCAGAGTCCCGGGGGACCTGGACGCAGCCTCCAGCGCCCTCATTTGCCTCTCCGGGTGCGCGACCCCTTCGGTAGCATCTGAATTGTGCTGGCCTGCATCGGACAAGCAGGGTCAGAACAAACCATGCTACCAGCAAAAGAGCTAAGCCAGAGTCTCCTTTTCTTATTTTAGAATGTGTTTGTTTTTGACAGGGTCTCACTACGCAGCCCTGACTGGACTCTCATAGAGATCCGCCTGCCTTTGTCTCCCGAGGGTTGGAATCAAAGGTCTGCGCAATCATGCCCTTCTCAAAATCATTTTAAACAGTGCCAACTTCCTCATGGGTCAAGATTGAGGGATAATAAGTATAGGTTTTTTCTTCCAATAAATTTATTTATTATTATTGTGTATGATGTGAAGGGGGACACATTCCACCATGACACAGAGTGCAGAGGTCAGGGGACTTTGTTCTCTCTCCTACCATGAATTTCAGGGATTGAACGCAGGTCTTCAGGTTTGAACCATAGATGCATTTAACTCACAAGTCAGCAAGTTGGGGGAGGTTTTAATTGTCAGCGATGATTGGGATCAGCCCAATTATTGTTGAATCATTGTCTTATTGAACTATTGTCTCATGTCGCCCAGGCTGACCTTGAACCAGCAATGTAGCTGAAGATGACTTTGACATTTCTGATCCTCACAAGTGTTGGGTGTACAGGCCTGAGCGGCCAGGCTTGACTTCCTAGTGTGATTTCTTTAAATGCATCCTGAGAGCTGTGTATATCAAGAGGATTCAACCAATCTAGGCTGCTAGAGACCCCAAGGGGAGGGAGGTGCAGAGGTACCTCAGGGATTAAGAGCACTGACTGCTGTTCAAGTTGGCATAGCCTGGGTTCAGTTCTTGGAACCCACATGGAGGCTCACAACTGTCTGTAACTCCAATTCTAGGGAATCCTAGTCCCTCTTCTGGCCCCAGTTGGCACCAGCCATGCATGTGGTACACAGACATATATACAGGCAAACCACTCATATACATAAAATACTACAACTACTGAAAAATACCTAGTAAGTGGCACTCCTGTAGTTTCAGAATCCGAGAGGTAAAGGCAAGAGTGTCCGAAACTCAAGATCATCTGTCCACTACATAGTAAGTGGAAGACCAACCTGGGATATAAGGGGCCCTGTCTCAAAAAGAGCAAGCCAAAGCATTCTGGGAGGCAGAGGGAGGTCAGCCTGATTTATATAGTAATTTCCAGACAAGCCAGTGCTACAAAGTAAAACCCTGTCTCAGCAACAGTAACAACAAAAAGGGTGTGGGGGTGGGGGTGGAATTATATCTGCTAAAAACACCCTTGGCAGGGCTGGGAGTCTAGCTCAGTGGAAGGAGCTTGCTTCAGAAGGCAGGGTTTGATCCCTCAGAGTTTGAGGGTAGAAGATACTTTGTGCCACCTCCATCTGAGTAAAATCTAATGTTTTACCCTAAGTCCTCAAGAAAACTTTCTATGACGTTCCTTTATCTTTTGGCTTGTGCGTGTGTCTACGTGTGTTCCCATGTATGTGGGCAGATGTGTATACAGATATATGTGTGTATGTCCACAGCCGAAGTCAGGAGTCTATTTATTGGTGCAGGGTCTCACTGGTTCCAGCTTGTCTAGACTAGCAGTTTGTCCCCAAGGGACCTAGATCTCTGAGTCCCTAGTGCTGGCATTACAGGAGGACATCAAGGCAACACTTTTATGTGCATCTGGGGATCTGAACTCAGGTTCTTTGGGCTTTATCCATGAATCATCTTCCCAGCCCCTGTATCCTTTGTGATCTCATATGCCACCTTCATCTGTGGACACTTCTGCTCTCCTGGCCCCCCAATACCTAATACCCTACCCTGAGATAGGGTCTCTCTGTGTAGCCCTGGCTATCCTGGAAATTACTCTGTAGACCAGTTTGGCTTCAAACTCAGAGATCTATCTGTGTGCCTCTGCCTCCAGAGTGCTGGGATTAAAGGCGTGCGCCACCACCACCCAGCGACAACTTGCCATCTTTTAGCTGGTCTACTTTTCCCTGATCTCTGATTGTATTTCCTTTGTCAGATCTTTGCTATTTCCCAGAGCCATCCTGCCAAAAAAGTATTCCTTCCCCTCCAGAATAGTTCCTTCCCTCTGTTTTAGTTCCCTTTATTGTCTCAGCAACACTGGTGTGTTCTGGATTTATTGTTTAGCCATCCCATCCCAGGACACACACGAATCCACTTCAGCGGCTTTTGTTTTCTGTTCTGTCTTTATGCCTAGGACAGGGCACCAAATAGATACTTACCTAATGAAAGCAATGCTGTGTAAGCGACACAGCGAGATGCTGTCTCAAAACAAACAAAAAATGTAACAGTGCCAAATGTAAGAGTGACACTTCCCCAACCTTAGACTCCTTTAGACTCCCATCTCTGAAATCCAGTGTGAACTCCTCCTACAAGAAGCTCGATTCCTTAACAGATTCGTGACTTTATAAGGCCAGATTTCTGGACCACAGCACAATACAGGTCTTCCGGTCTCCTCTTCTCCTGTCTGTCAGCTCCTGCCTCGTTCAGGGCCTTGCTTTGTAACTCAGGCTGATTTCGAACTTGCAGCGATCCATCTGGATCAAAGCTGGGATCGCAGATCAACGCTCGACTCTTTAAGAATCTTGAGGCTGGGTTGCTCTCCGTTTTGCGATCTCCGTGGATGATTTACCTGAGATGTTTTCTGTTGACTATCTGGCTTCACTTCCACACTCTCGACTACCAGCTCGACTTTCTAGCCCTCATGATTTTCCAGCCCTCATTAACTTCGCCGGGTATCCTCACCCCTAGGTCTCCCTTTTCCCTGGTCAGAGATTGCCTACCGCAGCGTTACTGATCTAACACGCTGAGATCGCTCTCTTGCCTCTCCCTGCAAACCCGAGAGTCCTAGGAAGCCACGAGACCCGCCCCCAAGTGTTCCAAAACACTCTGAAGCCCAATTTCCCTTGTGTGGAATGGGATGTGGTAGAACTGACTAGCAGCTTCTCTGGGAACCCTGGCCCGGAGCAAGCACAGCAACGCGATCCCACTCTTCCCCGACTCTAGCATTGAGAAAGGACGTCGGGAGGGGTCCTGGCTTTGTCACGGTCTCCTAGCAAGCTAAGGGAAGCAAAGGTCAATAGGAATCCGCAAAACAGGCTTTGCAGCTCGCCTGCCCGCTTTCTGCCAGTCCAAGAGAATCCGGTGCCAGCGTTTCGCGCAACCCCAAGCCTCTGCGCCCAGCCCCGCCCCGACGCGCCCCTCCCCAGAGGTCTTCTCGAGAATTCTGCCACAACCTCGGAGTTGCACCATTTGACTGCTTCGAGTTCCCGTAGCTACGCTCTCTGAGGTCTGAGGGTAGTGCTTCCGGGCCGCAGCCTAGGACGCCTCCGCGGCGGTGTAAGTAGATGCAGAATACCAAGAACTCAGTGAGTAGGGAAGCGGCCCGAGCCACAGCGTCCCCTCTGGTTCCCGTCTTCGAGTCTTTGCAGATGCCGGTTCAATTTAACCAGAGGGGCTAGGATTCCTAAAGCCCCAGCCCCCATGACTCAGGGGTTCCCGGCCGGTTCCCCCTGCCAGGATTCCAGTTTCTATCAGCGAACGGTCCCCTGCCCTGCTCCCGGTCCCTCCTGCATCTGAGTTCTCCTGCAGCCCTCGTCCTCAGCCCAGCTAGTCACTCTCGCTTGTCTCCCTGACTGTCTGCAGGCCTGGGCAGCATGGCCGTATTCCGCTCTGGCCTCCTGGTGCTGACAACGCCGCTGGCCACCCTGGCCCCACGCCTGCCTCCCATTCTAACCTCGGCGGCCCGCCTGGTCAATCACACTCTCTATGTGCACTTGCAACCGGGCATGGACCTGGGGGGCCCCGCCCAGCCCCAGGCCAGCCCTGTGCAGGCCACTTTTGAAGTTCTGGATTTCATCACGCATCTCTACAGCGGCGCCGACCTGCTCAGGCACCTGGACGTCAGAATTCTACTGACCAATATCCAGACCAAGAGCACTTTCCTCCCTGTTCTGCCCTCAGTCCAGAATCTGGCCCACCCTCCAGAAGTAGTACTTACAGACTTCCAGACCTTGGATGGGAGCCAGTACAACCCTGTTAAACAACAGCTAGAGCGCTATGCCACCAGCTGTTACAGCTGTTGTTCGCAGTTGTCTTCTGTCTTGCTGTACCCGGATTATGGAACTGGAGAGCTGCCTGTGGAGTCCCTGAATGCCCCCTTACCCTCCTCCACCATAAGGCCAGCTTCCCCGGTTGCCAGATCGCCAAAGCAGCCTGTGCGTGGCTACCGCCGTGGGGCCGTGGGTGGCACTTTTGACCGCTTGCACAATGCCCACAAAGTGTTGCTCAGTGTTGCATGTGTACTGGCCCAGGAGCGGCTTGTGGTGGGAGTAGCAGACAAAGATCTGCTGAAGAGTGAGTGAGAGGGACGAGGGACCCCGGAATAGGGCAATGGAGGACACCCGTTAAATTTTCTTGGCTCCCCCCATGCCAAGATCAGGGAGGGGAAGGGCCACCTCTCACCTTTCCAAAATGCCACAATGCCTGACACTGTTATTGCTATGGGACTTTTGATGAATACATGTGGCATCCTTAGTGTGTGGTTCAGTCATCTTTACTGAAGTCAGAACTCCCCAAATGAGAACCAAGGAATTTGCCCCTTATGGTACTCCTAGTGATCAGCTCTGAAACACTGAAAATACATGTTTGGGAGATGAGTTTAGGCGATCTAGCAGTGCCACGGACAGCGAGGGGGACGCCAGGAATGGGTAGCTCTTGGAATTCCCCACTTAGCTGATGCCTACTGGTACTGCTTCTCAGTAGTCATTTCTTGGTGGCCCGTTTTCTGGGTACACGCCAGCCCTTGCAGTGTCTGTGCTGCTTGTTTGTTTCCTCCCCTTTGTCCCCCTCCCCCCAAAACTTCCAGTTTCACCCTTTCTTGCTGCCACCGCTTGGGGAGAGTTCAGTGCCTAGGGGCATTCTTCCCCAAGTGTGCCTGTGTGTCTGTCTGCCTCAGTGGGACGATCTCACTGTTGCTCTTGGCTCCTTCTCCAGGCAAGTTGCTCCCTGAGCTGCTGCAGCCTTATGCAGAGCGTGTGGACCATCTGAGTGAGTTCCTGGTGGACGTCAAGCCCTCCCTGACTTTTGATATCGTCCCCCTGCTGGATCCCTATGGGCCTGCTGGGTCTGACCCCACCTTGGAGTTCCTGGTGGTCAGCGAGGAGACCTACCGTGGGGGGATGGCCGTCAACCGCTTCCGCCTTGAGAATGTAACCCCTGAAGGAGACTGGCAGAGGGAATGGGACGGGAAGGCCTGTTGGAAGTACTGTGGCCCCAGGGCCGGGAAGGGAGGGTTCGGGGTGGAGGAAGCTGAAGGATCTTGCCTGTGGAGGTGGAGGAGGAGAGGGCAGCCGGGGCTTCCAGAGTCACCCTCTTTTCTCTTACTCCCCCCCTCAGGGCAAGGAGGAACTTGCCTTATACCAGATCCAGCTGCTGAAGGACCAAAGTCATAGTGAAAATGAAGAGGATAAGGTCAGCTCTTCCAGCTTCCGGCAGCGGATTCTAGGAAACCTGCTTCGGGCTCCAAATGTAAGTCTGCCTTCCCTTCCTCCTCACCGAATATGCATGTTGGAAAGGCTGGAGCGTAGAAACAGGCCGTCCACGGGAAGTGGGAGCCTGAACTCCCTGATAACTGAGGTTTCCGCTTACCTGTCTGCAGCAGAGGCCCGAGATCCCGTCAGGGCTCTATGTGCTCGGGCTGACGGGCATCAGCGGTGCTGGGAAAAGCTCAGTAGCCCAGCGGTTGAAGAACCTGGGTGCATATATCATTGACAGTGACCATCTGGGCCATCGGGCCTATGCTCCTGGGGGCCCTGCCTACCAACCTGTGGTGGAGGCCTTTGGAACAGGTACTAGCTGTGGAGGGGTGGAGGTAGACGAAGGTGAGAAGACGGGCTGGCCTCTGTACTTAGCCTTCTTTCTCTGTCACCCAGATATTCTCCATAAAGATGGCACCATCAATAGGAAGGTCCTGGGCAGCCGGGTGTTTGGCAACAAGGTAAACGCGCACCCCTCTTCAAGAGCTCTTCAGCTTCTGCCAACGGGCGGAACCCCTGGACCCCCGAGTCGGGTACAGGAAATCTGTTTCTGCTCCCAGCCCCCACCTCCTCAGGGATGCTAACCTCTGCCCGCTCTCTGTCCCCCTCCCCAGAAGCAGATGAAGATCCTCACAGATATTGTGTGGCCAGTTATCGCGAAGCTGGCTCGAGAGGAGATGGATTTGGCTGTGGCTAAGGGTGAGTGGGTGGGATGACGGTAGCGGCCAGAGTGGGGAAGTTAGGTGGCGTCTTTCTTGGCCCCAGGTGGACCAAAGCTACAGAGGATTGCTGACAGGTAGCACGTGACAAGGTGCTGCTCGCAGTGACTAGGGCTTCCCCACAGGAAAGACAGTGTGTGTGATTGATGCTGCTATGCTGCTGGAAGCCGGCTGGCAGAATATGGTACACGAGGTGTGGACCATTGTCATCCCCGAGACTGAGGTATTTGGACCCCACTCTACCCCGTCTGAGCTCTCTGCAGGTAGTCTCCTGCTGTGATCCAGTAGACTGAGCTGGGGTACTTCCTGATCGGTGTGTCCTCCGTGCCCAGGCTGTACGACGCATTGTAGAGAGGGATGGACTGAGCGAAGCAGCTGCTCAAAGCCGGCTACAGAGCCAGATGAGTGGGCAGCAGCTGGTGGAGCAAAGCCATGTGGTTCTGAGCACCTTGTGGGACCCACGTGTTACACAGCAACAGGTTGGTACAAAGGGAAGTAGTGGGGAGGAGGGAAGGTCCAGTGGTCGTCCCCCCCTGACCCCGTCTTTTCTTCTACCATTCTGGTACCAAAGGTGGAAAAAGCCTGGACTCTTCTACAGAAGCGCCTCCTTAAGACCCATCAGACCAAGAACTGACAGCGAATGTTCTGTGGCGTCAAACTGCCCCGCTCCCCCCTCCCCCCCAGCTAACAAATCCAGTGGTGAGGAGGAGTGGGGGCCTCCATGTTCCCCCTATGGCAGGCCTAAGAGGCTTCTAGCTGAGCTGTGCAGGACACAGAGAGAAGCCCGGAAATCTGCCTAGATGCTGGAATTTGGCCGGCAGGACAGCTAAATGGAGGAATAGACCCCTCTAGGGTTCTGCTCCCTTTCCAGTGGCGGATGTGTGATGTCTGCCCACTGTTGATGGGTCGCGCTGAAACACTGGACCCAGTCACCGAATTAAAGATGTTTCCAGTGCTGCCTGTGTGATTTCTCCTTCCTGCTGCAGTACCTCTAGGTATCTTTGGATCTTTAAGCTCCAAATTCAGGGGCAAGGCCTGAGCTGGAAGCCAGGGATTGCTGTGGTTAAGTGCAGCCTATCAGTGACTAGCGATGTGCTTTTGAGTATGTTAGACTTTTCTACTGCTCTGCCAATAAGCCTAACTTCAAAGGCTCTTTACAAGGTTTAATTGCACAAGCTCTGCATCAGACACCAGCCGGGTGTTGGGTGGCTTTGTGCTCCCATTGGATCAGATCATGTGACATAGGGGAAGTTCTTGACCCCAGCTGTGGTTGCCAGCCTGATCAGCTGTGCGCGTGCGTACGTGATGTCTCACTGTTTAGACGCTTTTTTTGTGAGCAGTGCTGGGGCTCTCACGGGTTCCACCCCCAAACTAGTACACTTCTAGCTCTTTTTTTTTTTAAAAATATTTATTCATTTATTATGCATACAATATCTGCCTACATGTGTGCCTGCAGGCCAGAGAGGGCACCAGATCTCATTGCAGATGGTTGTGAGCCACCATATGGTTGCTGGGAATTGAACTCAGGACCTTTGGAAGAGCAGGCAATGCTCTTAATCACTGAGTCATCTCTCCAGCCCCCCACTTCTAGCTCTTTTAACAATCTTTTTGAGAAGAGCTTCATTGAACAGAGAATTGCCTCCATTCTAGATTCTCCTTTGGAGCAAGCAGGACCCACGAGGGCTGACACTGCCTGCATTAATAACGCGAATTTGGTCAGGTGTAGCCACCGTCAGCAGGCGTTTAATTACTAGAGCCGCGCAAGCGCTGCGCTTTCGCCCTGCCCATGCCCACAGTAGCAGATTGGTGGGCTGAATCACGTGATCGAGCCTCGCCTCTTCCTGGAGGCTGGGGGCCAGTCCGCAGGCTCGTTTCCGGTTCGGTAGGTCCACGATGACGGAGCCGGGCGCCTCTCCGGAGGACCCCTGGGTCAAGGCAAGCTCCGCGGACGCGCACGCCGGCGAGGGGAGGGCGGGTCGGGCTCGTGCACGTAGGGGGTCCGGAAGACGCGGGGCTCCCCAGCTATCCCCAGAGTCTCCCCTGCTGTCCGGGCCCCGGGGCTGCAGAGAAGACAGCTCTCACCCGGCGTATGCCAAGGTGGGGAGACAAATGAGGCGTGTGTGCGGGAACAAGGGGAACATGCCTGGGAGGTGGGGCGGGGACGGCAGGGGTCATACAGAGGGGGCGGCGCCCCTGCGGCCTAGCCAGGCTTGCCTTTGGGAGAACCATTCAGCGGTCCCCGCATCCGTGGTACGTGCATCCGCGGATTGCGCGTGCCTTTTCCTAGAGGCAAAGGTCTGACGGGCTTCTCCGTTGCTTGATGCTGCAGGTCGAGTATGCCTACAGTGACAACAGCCTGGACCCTGGTGAGTGTCTTCTCCACCGTCTTCGCGGCAGGAATGACCTGTTTCAACTCTGTAGATCTTTGTGGTCTTGCCAGCCACACCTGAGCACAGTCCACTGTCACTGCGCCAAGGCCCTGGATTGAGAAGTGAGGGAGGAGCTGGAGGATAAGCAGGAAGCAACCATGGGTCACACCTGGTTTCTCTGCTCTAGATCGGGAAATGATGGAAACAGTGACAGCTGGGCATGTTCACTGCATCCAGATGCCCTTTGTGAGCCAGAAATTAGTTCTATGGGCAGTGTTGACACTAGAGACAGGAGCATTGCAGCATGAAATGGGTGGCCGACTTTGGAGTTGGTGGGGAGAAGTCAGCATTTGAAGCCATTGTGCCCATAGGTGACTGAGGGCCTAGTCATGTTTCCCACTTCTTAGTGATTGAGGCCTCTTTTTTCCAGGGCTTTTTGTAGAAAACGCCCACAAGGGGAGTGTAGTGTCCAGAGCTAATAGCATCGGTTCCACCAGTGCCTCTTCCGTCCCCAACACAGGTAGGCAGCAACACACTCCGCACACACACCCGGGGAACCGCAGCTATGCCACCGTCTTAGTATTCTTCCTAATAGGGAGCGCCATGGTCCACGTGGGGCGGCTGGATCTGTGCCGAGCCGAGCTTCACTGTCGTTCACCTCATCTAAGATACTAGGTTCTTTCCATTTGCCATCGCTGGGCACCAGGTTCTTAAACTAGGGGTAGGTGGGCTTACTGGACTCAGTGAACCGTGAGTGACCTTTCCCTGCCTCCATCTGAGCGTAGATGATGAGGACAGTGACTATCAGCAAGAGTCCTACAAGGAGTCCTACAAAGACCGGAGGCGGCGTGCACACACTCAAGCAGAGCAGAAGAGGAGGGATGCTATCAAGGTGACTAGGGGCAAGGGAAGCCCCTTCCTGTATTCCAGGAAGCAAGGGAGGGCTCTGCATGGTTCTTAATTCACCCTGCCCTAAGCTTAGTCCCAGCAGTCTGCAGGGCTAGTCCGGTGCCCCTACCCCCTCCTTCTGGCCCTCTATGCTTTGAGTTTCTGAACATGGAACTGGTATCAAGTGTGTGCTAGTCTGTCTTGTTCCTGAGTTAAGAAACCCATCTCACTGCCGTTTCCACAGAGAGGCTACGATGATCTTCAGACCATCGTCCCTACTTGCCAGCAGCAGGACTTCTCCATTGGCTCCCAGAAACTCAGCAAAGCCATCGTTCTACAGAAGAGTATGACCAGGGTGACAGGGCAGGGGTAGTAGTAGTGACCAGGAGTGGCTGGTACCTGGTCTGACCCAGGTGTGGTGGCTGCACTGGGCAAGCTGACTTCTAGGGGAAGGGGAAACAAAATGAACCATCTTCCTGATCAGACTTCCTCTCTGTTCCCAACCCTCTCTTGACCCCCACTCCAGCCATCGACTACATCCAGTTTTTACACAAGGAAAAGAAAAAGCAGGAGGAGGAAGTATCCACACTGCGCAAGGATGTCACAGCCCTGAAGATAATGAAAGTGTAAGAAGGGTGTGGAAGTGAGGGGCATGCAAGTCAACCCCAGTGCACTTTCTCTCGTTTAAAGGCTGTATCAGAGAATGCATGTAGGCAATGCTGACTCAAGGTAGTCGCTGTAAGGCAGGGCTGTCTGTCCCCATCAGCCTTTTACATAGAGCAGATGTACAGGAAATAAACACCGGTCAGGGGCCCAGTAGCAGTGGGGCACGCGTGGATGGATCTGAGTTCAAGGCCAACCTGGTCTACACAGTAAGCTTTAGGACAACCAGAGCTATACAGAGAAACCCTGTCTCAAAAAAACAAAAAAGAAAAACACTTGTAGGTTGCAGGGAGTCACATTTCTGACTTAGTAGTGTTTAGCTGTTGAATGCATCCCCGAAGGGCTCCATGAATCCTCTTCTGGGGCGACCACTGGGCTATCTCACCGTGCTTCTCAGGTTGGTGGAGCTGCTGTAGCACCTCAGCTCTGCTTGCTTGCCTGCTTCCAGGAACTATGAGCAGATTGTGAAGGCACATCAAGACAACCCTCACGAGGGGGAGGACCAGGTCTCTGACCAGGTCAAGTTCAACGTGTTCCAAGGCATCATGGACTCCCTATTCCAGTCTTTCAATGCCTCTATCTCTGTGGCCAGCTTCCAGGAGCTGTCAGCTTGTGTCTTCAGCTGGATTGAGGAACACTGTGAGCCACAGGTATGTGGCAGCAGGGGTCATGGGGTCTGAGGCTCTCTTATTACCTCCAAGGCAAAGGGATCCAAACCACTAGAAAAGCAGTGTGGTTGTCTACAAAGTTTAGTATTCTGTTTCTCCTTGCTACCTAACCCAGTGAAGGTCTCATCTGGCAACCATAATGTGAGCACTCAGTGCCAGGTCCAGCTTTGGCCCACGTCATTGGTGACTTATTAGCCACTCTACTCCTTGGCTGTCCTGTATGGAAGCCAGCAGCAGTTACTGGAGGTTTCTAGAACCATGAAACACAGATTATGGGACGCCCTCACCCCCCTATAGTCTCAGGACTTTTATTGTGCCATCTTCTGTCAAGGCCTGTTTTTCTTCTCAGATTTCTCCCTTTTACGTTTCTCAACACTTTGATTGTGAAGTACTTTAAAGACTGTACCAGTGAATACCCACATATGCCACATCAGTTATACTGATGGCATACTCATCTGTCTCCATGTTTGTTTCAGGAGTATTTGAAAATTAAAAGTAGACAACATTCCATTTCAGGGAAAAGACAAAACACATTTTATGTACATGTGTGTTTTGTTTGCATGTATGTGTGCATCATATGTGTGTGCCAGAGGCCAAAAGAGGGCACTGGATCCCCTGCAATTGGAGTTGCAGGTGGTTGTGAGTCACCATTTGGGTGCTGGGAACAAGGCCTGGGTCTTCTACAAGAGCAGCAAGCACTCTTAACCAGTGAGACATCTTCCCCTCCCCATAGCACATATGGAGAGGGTGGAGGACAACTTTTTAGTCAGATCTTTCCTTTCACTTTTATGTGGGTCCCAGGGAGATGGAACTCGGTTCACCAGGCTTGCATGGCTAGAGGCTTTACTGACTTGAGCCATCTCCCCAGCCCTCCTTTGCTTCCATACTCCACCAAGCTGTATGTCCGGCCCTTAGGTGACTAGTTGAAATGCCCCGTTCAAGAGCACACTTGGTCTAGGCAGGCATCTTACAGGTCTGCACTGTCACCTGACCGTTCTTTCCTAGACTCTACGAGAAATTGTGATTGGTGTCTTACATCAGTTGAAGAACCAACTCTACTGATGGCTCCTGGAAACCTGCAGGGCAGAGGTCTTTGGTCTGTTTGGCTGTGGAACTGCTGGGCCTATGAGACTGGACTGCAACACCTCACACCGGTCAGCTGGTTTCTACTTGGTGTTTGGTTTGCCCAGCCCCACTTCAGTGAGGCTGTTCTGTGAAGGCCTCTCATTAATTTATTATATTGCCCAGTGTTGGACCCACCCAACTTTCCCCTTCCCAGGAAAAGTGTCTAGGACAAGAGTCTGTTCAGGGACCCTTACAGAAGCCCTGGCCCCTTAGCCCTTTTTCTAGCCGTTGGGTTTATGCTCACAATCTCTATATAGAATTTGGAAATTGTTTGCCTCTGCTTGGTCTCTTGGGCAACACTTGGCTCAAGTTGGAGTATTTTGGCAGTTTTTGACTTGGAAAAAAGAAGAGTCTCGTGGCCACGAAGGGTGAAAGGCCACCTTGTGCCTAGGCTAGTGCTGTGTGGTTAGCACTGAGCAAAGCCAGGGCTTTCTAGCCAGCTCAGGGTAGGGCTCCTAGGGCCCTGCTGTCCCCTCATGTTCAGCCACCTGTGGGTGCTAGAGAAAGCAATGTCCTAACAGCTCTCGCCCTGTCTTCCCAAAGGCAGACATCTCACAGCATAACATTTGAATTTATTTTCTAAATACCAACAGTGTGCGTTTGTTATAGTTTCCCCAAATTTCCAGTGGCCCTCCAGAGCACCCCAGCCATCTCTGTGTACTGTGTCTGCGTAGCCACCAGCACCAGTGTGTTGCCTCCATTCCTCCTAGGACTTGGGGGATAGCTACAGAAGACACTCGGGTCGTCGGGGGGTAGGCCTGGCTAATGCCTTAGGTTTTCATACATCCAACATTTGAGAACCCTTTCTGTACCTTTCTCCCCAGTGTTCCCTGTTGCCTTCCCCAGGTTTGATATCTGGGAGGTTTGATAATCCAGAGGAAATTAAGTATTTTTATATCAAATTATATTACAATAAATATTCTAGATAATTTCCCTTAGGATTGTTCTTCCTTGCTGAGGCCTCTGTAATACGACAACAAAATGGACACAAGCATCTCTTCCTGATTATCAGCTGTGTACTTCCCTCCCTACCACTCGAAGGTGGAGCGCAGCAAAAATAAGGCCACCCCAAACAAGGCAGCCAGCCTGGGACATCCACTCCCAGACTCCACCAAGGGCCCCTCAGGGGTCTGGGAGCGTGACATTATGATCTTCATCTGTCTCTATCCCGACTTCCTCCTGTGGGGTAAGGAAAGGAGTGAAGGAGTCCTCTGGGTAAAGATCCCAGGGGAGCAAAAGCAAGCGTCACTTACAAAAAACTGTTTCTTGCTCTTGGGGTATCCTTCAAGGATTGCATCACACAGCTCGGTGGTCTGACAAGGAAGAAAGCCCCTTTCAGGTGGGCAGAAGCAGTACAAGGCGCTGCCTGCTGCTGCTGGATCATTTTGCACAGAAACGTCCCTGGTGATCGTCACTTCCCAGCACCTCCGAAGCCACCCTTGGTGTTCTCACTCACCATTCTCTTCCGCTTCCTCCACTCTTTACAATACTTCTGTCTGTCTTTGTACACCTGCAAGGAAGAACCAAGGGCGTCTGTGCACCTCATGTTCACTCCAGACCGGCACAGGCAGCCTCCAGCCTCCCCGCTCACCTGCTCTTTCTCTTCTGGAGTGATATGGTTGGTGGCTGCTTTGATGTTCTTCAGCCTCTCTGTATAATGAGCACATTCATTCTTTAACTCCTGGATCTCTTTCTGCATCTCAGGAGTGGTCAGCGCATTTGTTAATTCCTTCAGCTCTGAAACCACATACCCCCAGTGTTACCAGGGACGTGCGAGGAATGGATTCTGTCTTGCTCAGCAGGTGCTTCCCAGAGGTGGGAGGTCAGCTTCCATCTTGCTCTGGGACCTCTCCAGAATAGGACCCCACATTCTGGAAAAGCTCAAGAAAAAAGCTTACAGCATAGTTTTCTATTTCTCTTTCCTTCTCCATCTAAAAGTAACAGTGGCATATAAAGTTGAGCAGACTGATGCACAGGTAATTAAAGAAGTGGGAATAAAATGCGGCATGCTCATACTGCGGCAGGGAAACCAAGTGGCTTGTCTTGCCCTTTTGTACACAAAAGCCTTAAGTAATAGCGTAGGCACCTGGTAAAGGGGTCCTAGCTGCAATAAGATGCTGCAGATAAGAAACCATTGTTAGCAATTTGTGACACCCAAACCGTGGTATCCTGGAAGGGGTTCCGGTCTTACCAGCCTCCATGTGGCGGCAGCTTTGCAGTAAGCTCTGCACCTTGGCAGTGAGGGCCGCAATTTTGGCATCCAGGCTGTGGAGGTCAGCATCACTCACTGTGTCAAACTGGTCCTGCCAGCCAAGAGGAGAAATACAAGTGAGTTCATGTGAGGCACAAAGATAAACAAAAGGTGAAATGCAATGCCTGTCCTCAGGAGCCTTGAGGTTGGATCTTAAAGAGTAATGAAGACAGAAATGTACTGGCGGGTGTGTTGGCCCACACCTTTAATCCCAGTACTAGGGAGTCACCGAAGGTGAATCTGAGTTTGAGGCCAGCCTGGAGTTCCAGGACAGCCAAGGCTACGTCGTAGAGAGACCATGTCTCAAAAGAAAAACAACATGAGAAATATATTTTCATTTAGCAATAAAACCTCTCATCATCTAAAAGAATGAAGCAGCATGCCTTCTGAAGTGGAGGAACAGATTTCCAGTGGAAGAGGCTAAGTGGGTCCTGTGTAAGGACGGGCTCCTTCCCTAGGAGGTATTGCGAGAAGAGGGCCGCTGGGGATCAGCAAGAGCCTCCTCAGCTGATGCGGGGAGTAGCCAGAAAAGGCTGGGCGTGCCAGACCAAGTAGTGTGGATGGTATACTCTGGCAAGGTGAGTCTGAAGAACAGGAGCCATTGCTCAAACCTCACATGTAAAATAAAATTGTGCAGCCATGTCTGTTTGCATCATCTATGGCTACTTCTGTTTTACAGTGGCAGGGTTGAGTAGTGAGAACAAATGCCTCAGAAAGTCTAAAACTACATCCACGCCCCTCAGCCATTTTACCAGCCAAATTTGTGTTTAGATAGATCATTCTGGCTACAATATCCAGAGGATCTGATAGAGAGCCGTGGTTAGATTCAATAAAGAAAACCTTGAGGGCTGGAGAGATGGCTCAGAGGTTAAGAGCACTGACTGCTCTTTCAGAGGACCCGGGTTCAATTCCCAGCAACCACATGGTGGCTCAGTCATCTATAATGAGATCTGGCGCCCTCTTCTGGCATGCAAGCATACATGGAAGGAATGTTGTATACATAATAAATAAATAAATCTTTAAAAAAAAAAAAAAGAAAACCTTGAGCCACCCTGGTAAATAAACAAACACTTACAAACTCAGCACTCAGGAGGCCGAGGCAAGAAAGCAAGTCTGAGGCCAGCCTGGGCTACATAGTGAGACTCAGTCTCAACCCTTTGCCCTCCAAAAAAATGGATAGGTTGGGAGAATCAGATATAATTCATAAATGACCACACATGTCAAATATGCGAGGTAAATAAAAGAAACAAAGAATTGGGGAAAAGTGTTTCTCTTACAAAAGAATGCTAAAAAGCCAGTTTGGTGAGGGGCAGAGATTAAGCATTCTACTTCCGTCATATTGATACTGATGCTTAATATTTGAGAGGCATCCAGAGAGAAGTATAGGTGGGAGAATACAAATTTGATGTTTGTGGTAGTGGGCAGAGAAGAATAAAAAGCACTTGGTAGAGGGTGGGCTAGACTAAACAATAAGAGTTTCCAAGCGGAAAGAAGGCTGGGAGTAGTAACAAGCCAGCGTCTTCTGTGTTTTGTCGATACCTCAAATGAACACTGGCGATCACAGGCAGTGTACCCATGATTTAAGAATGCCTGAGGCCAGCCGGGAGGTGGTGGCGCACGTCTTTAATCCCTGCACTTGGGAGGCAGAGGAAGTCGAATCTCTGTGAGTTCGAGGCCAGCCTGGTCTGCAAAGTGAGTTCCAGGACAGCCAGGACTGTTACAGAGAAACCCTGTCTCGAAAAACCAAAATAAATAAGTTTTTAAAAAAACGAACGCCTGAAGCCTTTTATGGCACAGGTTAGGCTAATTTTATGAGGCGCCTCAACACTAACTAGTTAACGCTGGGAGTTGATTCGCTCAGCCAGGTTTTCGGGTGGGGGCTAATCTGCGGGAGTTCTCACCTGATCGGCAAAATAAATTTTCTGCTTGCCGTACGTCTTCTCTTTGATCTTGCTTTGCTGGGCCAGCTGATCCAGAGCCTTCACCACCGCCTGGCCGAGGGAAGGGTGGAGCAATGAGAGGGAGCATGGGCTCGGGAGATTCCTGCTGGTGACAGGGAAAAGGGGACCCACGCCTGAAAAGCGAGTTCAGCGGGGAGGGAACCCCTCAAAGGGGGTGGGGGTCTCACCGCCTTGCCCAGTCCATGTTCCTTCTGCAGGTTTCCGAACACGTCCTGCGCGCTGTAGGGCCGATTTTGTTCCTGCAGGTACCTCAGGATGATCCCGGGGGCTGCGGGAGACGAGGTGGGAGACCGAGTCACCTCTGACCCCCTCGCCCGCTCCCCTCCCGGGTCCCGCGGGCGCCGCCGTTACCTCCGGCCGCAGCCTCGGCCCGGTTTTTACTCATGGCCTTTTCCCGCCACCAAACTGAAGACAGCAATCTGGTTGGTTGCTCCGGGAGACAGCGCCTTCCGGTGAAGGAGGAAGGTCTTAACGCTGATTGGCTGCAGGAGAAGTCTTCCGGAAACGCGCCCCAATCTTCCGGTACCCGTAGCCGGCCCCCCCACCAGGCCCCAGGCGCGGTCTAGAAACTGAACCTAGGCCTTTGCGACAGGTCAGTGGTCGTCCTGGGCCTCCGCGCTGGCTGGACTGAGTGGCCCTTTCCATTTAAGCTGCCGTACGTGAGCAGCTCACTCGTGAGCCTGAACTTGGCCCAGGTGGTGGGAAGGGGAAGAAACTTCAGGGTCCCAGCTCCCGCGCCGCTCAGAGTTACAAGGTATACCCCCCGGGAGCGTGGGCGCCTGCCAGAGGGTGGCTAGGAAAAGGAGCACTAACAGCGCCCGTTTCCGTGTGTCGCGTGTAGGGGGCGCTCGACACCAGCGGTGGTTTGAACGCCCAAAAAGACGGTAGGGAGTAGAGGCTACAACTCAAGCCACAAGTCGCCAGTTAGCCCCTGCAGCAACACCTGACAGGTGCTTTCCATTCCTGACAACGGTGGTCAGTCCGGTGGAGCCTGAAATAAGTATTTCTAGTTTCTGAGGTCTGCTGAAGGTCAAAGAGCAGCTGTCCTTGCAGCTCAGAGTCCCGTGAAAAGGCACAGTATTAACTTTTCAAGCCTTCTGCTATGTAAAACTCAATTAGCCTTTGTTCAGAACATTTTTTTTTTGTCTCCTCTTATATAAGGGGCAGTGTTAAGAATGAAACCGGGCAATGGTGATGCACGCCTTTAATTCCAGCACAAGAGAGGCAGAGGCAGGTTTATCTCTGGAAGTTTGAGCCCAGCCTGGTCTACAAAGTGGACAGGATAGCCAGGGCTGTTAAACAGAAAAACCCTGTCTTGCGAAAGGAAAGAAAAAAAAGTATTAAAAATGATGGAAATAATGAGGCTGGAGAGATGGCTCAGCAGTTAAGAACACTTTTTTTGTTTTTTCGAGACAAGGTTTCTCTGTAGCTCTGGAGCTTGTCCTGGAACCCACTCTGTAGTCCAGGCTGGCCTCTGCCTCCCAAGTGCTGGGATTAAAGGTGTGTGCCACCATCTGGCACATTTGGTTTTCTTGGAGACAACCTGGTTTGGTTCCTAGCACTCAAGTAACTGCTAATTGTAACTCCATTTCCAAGAGATCTGACCCTACTCAAACCCCCCAGGCACCAGGCAAGTAGTGGTGTGAGTACATGCAGGCAGGCAAATGCTCATGTACATAAATAAATAAATCTAGAAAACAAAACAAAAACCAACGGGACAAGTGCCAGCAAGGGTGTTGTATTGATGTCTTGGTTGTAGGAGGGGAAATGCTTTCATGAGGGAGAAACAGGAAGGGGCAGGTGAGCCCGAGGCCTACCTGGGCGTCCCCTTCTGAGGTGGTCACGGCCCAAATGAGCTATTACCAGATTAGTAAGAGAAGACCTATCAAAGGAGTACACCACGCAATGGCAGTCTCTTAAAGATTGTTCTCATACAAGATTTATTCCCCAGAACCCACCCCCCACCCCAATTCACAGTGGAAGATTCGGGAGATTCAGAGCAGGATCCCACTGGTACAAGAAAGACCTTCTGGATTTTGCTCTCCTTCCCTCTCTCTTCCTCTTGCCAACTCCCAAAGCATGAAGTTACACACATTCATGCAAACACGCAATATTCCACTCCTTTCCGTCACCTCCCATTTTCTCCAGAGAGCTCACCTGTAAGACAGCTGGCTCTAAGGAAAGAGATGTCCAGAGCATCTGAGAACCTTCAAAGTGGGGAATGCCATTACCCCTCCCTAACTTTCACACTCAATGACTATGAAACAGGCACCTAGCCATTGCCCTTCTCACTGTTAAGTATTTTCACTCCCTGGCCTCTCTACCTTGTCCATCAACCAAGAGCAAACGTGTTAGCACAACCCCCAACCTGCAGCACATGAAAATGGGCTCTGTCCAACGTCCCTCACCCAAATATGGGGGTGCTGGGGGAGTGGTCCCTGAGGATCAGCAAAGGGTTAATGCAAGAGGGAAAGAGGATAGAGAATTTGGCTTGAGCTCTGATTTGGGAGACAGAGAGAGGCAGTAGGCTGGCAAAGGTTTAGAACCAATGATCATTTACAGGGCTTTGTTTCACATGATTTGACCAGGGACTGCTAACACACACCCTTCAGAGCAGTCTCTGCTGGTTACCAACACATCCTTACTATCTGGGCTCACCCTCAAAGGAGTTAGGAAGCAGTATGGGAAGAAGAGCTGGTGGCTCCTCGGATGAATGCCACAGCCATTGTAAAGTGCTACTTTGCCACCTACCCCTTGCGGAATTATTGCTTCTCCAGAGGAGGAGCAGGGGAAGGAACTGGGACATAAAAATGGGTATGATATTGCTTTGCTCGCTGCTCAGATGGATGGTCAAATGGAGCCAGGGGTTAACAGCACCAAAGACAACCACACAGCTCCAAAAGATTCCATGAGACCTCATGACAGAGAGGCACTCACCAACCCTATCACCAGCTGATCCTATAGTTCAAGGTGACACAGAAAGGCTCAGCGCCACGTCACATTCACATTTCTTAAATTCTGCAAGCACTCTGCAGTGTTGAGGGTCAAAGTCATCAAGAAATGAAGATGGGCTCAGGGACAGGAAGTGGGCCTGCTCTGCAGAGCCAAAGGACAAACTTGCTTTGAAAACACAAATCAAATCATGATAAAAGACAAAAATGGAAACTCTTGTAGCTGCTGCCTGACTTGTGTGGCTTCTGTGAGGTGAGAAGAAGACATGGGCTCTTACATCAGTGAAGGCCCCTGAGCACCCAGACCTAAAAGCAAACAGCACTACCACCTCAATATTGATTCCCAAGGGGAATCACTACCCCTCCTTTCTTGTCTGCAGTACTGCCCTAATGGAGAGAAGTCTCCCTTGGGGCAGCATGTGCTCACTTCAGTGACTAAGCACAGAAATGGTGTCTAGCTGGCAGCAAGGTAATGAGTATGTTCTCTCAGCAGGCCTCTGCACCAGCCAGGCCACCCAGCACACAGATAAAATTCAGGGGACAAGACTGGGTTCTTCCCTTGCCCCGTCACAGTAAGTGGGGTGGGGAGAAAAAAACCCTACATCACAGTGACCCCCTCAAAGGAGTCTCTCCTCAGTGGCTCCTGGAACTGGCAGGGTCTAGCTGATTCAGCTCTGATTGGTCCAGAAGTTCAAAATCATCTCCCTCAGCATCAGTGTCTAGGTCTGAACTAGGAGCCTGGAGGAGGCCTCTTGTTGCTCTTCGGGGAGGTGGGCCAGAAGGGTCTGTCTGGGAGGCCCCTGACAAGGCCAGCTGGATCATGCCCTGGGAGACCAGGCTGGCAAGGTTGCTGGTAAGGTTAGATCCTCCAGGAAGGGACCCAAGCAGGAGCTCTGGCAGTGCAGCCTCATCCCGACTAGCAGGCAGGACCTGGGTATCCCCAGCCCCTGGTGGGGGGCGGTACATCACGCTGGGCATCCCAATGCTGGTGTCGTCTTCATCATCCAGACCAGCAGGATCCACATTAATGGAAGGGAAGTCTGGAAGATCTCTGGCAAATGATTCCTCAGGATCACTGTGACCATCTAGGTCTGAGAGAACACAGGTATATGAAAATGGTGGTTACTTGGCCCCTTGTGCTCCAGACCCCAAAAAACCAGGTTTTCCCCTACCCTGTACCTTTTTGTTTTGTTTTTCGAGACAGGGTTTCTCTGTGTAGCCCTAGCTGTCCTGAAACTCACTCTATAGACCAGGCTAGCCCTGAACTCAGAGCTCTGCCTTCCAGGTGCTGGGATTAAAGACTTGCCAGCACCACCCAGCTTTCCTCTTCTTCTTCTTTTTTTTTTTTTTTTTGGTTTTTCAAGACAGGGTTTCTCAGTAACTATGGAGCCAGTCATTTTGTAGACCACGCTGGCCTCGAACTCACAGAGATCTGCCTGCCTCTGCCTCCCAAGTGCTGGGATTAAAGGTGCGCGTCACCACCATCCATCCGGCTTCCCTGTTCTTAAGATACAGCAAAACCTGTGGGACTGGTTAGCTTTTCATCATCACTCAGATGACCATTTGCCAATTAGATGACTAACTGCCACAGACCTGCGTGTCTTCCTCTACTGTGCCCATGAGGCCAGAGGCAAAGACTAATAATGGACTGGGGGCTTCAAGAAAAGCAGCAGTATCAGCGGTGCTATGCCACACCCTTGGGTGACTCTGCTACTTGAGCCACAACCCAGGAGAGGAGGGGCAACAGTAAGCCCCCGTCCAAGGAAGTTATAACACAAAAGTAAGAGTTACTATCAACTCAAGTCAAAGGTTCTCACCTTCCGAGCCTTCTGTGAGAGGTGTCTGGCCCCTTGACAGGTTAAATGTGCCGTTGTCTGTACAGGAGACCTCAGCATCAGAGTGCTCCGAATCTGTGATAGCCAATTCTCTGGCCACAGCAGAATCATCCAGCTTACAAAAAGAAAAGCAGCAACAAGTCAGAGATGATGCCGCCAGCAATCTGCTTTACTAATGCAAGCCCTAGAAGAGACCCAAGTCCACCAGTGAAATCAAAGAGAGATGGGAACTGCACCCACCATCTTGATGCCTGTTACGGTGCTTCCCTAAAGGAAACATTTTTTCTCATCAACCTTTTGAGCTCAGGCAATCCTGGGTAACCAGAAAAATATACTTATTAACCAAACCTCTAGGAGGACTGGCTGCTGAAACGTTTCTGTCAGCTCCAGGTTTTCCCCTGATGGAAAAGTATAAACCCAAGTGAACATGCTATTCACCAGGCTCAAACTGAGTTCTAAGGCCCCATACAATGCCAGGTTCTCTCCTCAGCACTGCTATTGAGAATAAGGGGAATCTAGGGTCTTTAAGGGTCCTTGATAGACTTAAAACCTGGTTACCATCTTAATGTGAGCTGCCAGACAGATAAAGAGGAATTAAGAAAATGGGCCCAGTGGAGCAGCTTCCACACAAGATACCTGAGGACAGAAAGCAGCAAGTTCCTCTTCGCTGTCACTGTGGTTGTCCAGGGCACGTTCTGGGTGTAGAGCTCTGCGGCGGACTATGTGGAAAGAGCAGAAGACCTGATGCCTTCAAAGGAAAAACTCCCTTTGAACTCCAAAAACACGACTACACAAGAAGAGATCCTCTAAATAAGGCTCTAAGTCTACACAGCAATGTCTGAAGGTAAGAATGCTGAGGCTAAGTAGTAACATGACATTACATCTCTCCTCCAACATCCCTCCTTCGTTCAAGCCCTACACATCTCTAGAGATTCTAGCTAGATGATAAACTACCAAACCACCCAGCAACTCTGAGGATTTGCCAGGGATAAGTGGGCACAGTCATAGGGAAGAGAAGGGAGGTGCTCACCTTGGTCAAATGAGGCTAAGGACTGAGATTTTTCAACTAGTTGGCCCAGATGAAGCTGGTGACCACATATGGGATTCTTTGAGGCCAAGGTTTAATGAAACACCCAAACTGATAACAGCAGAGAAAGGGCACACTGGTGCTACCTTTTGTGTCAGGCATCTATGGTGGCTGGTTTCAGTCCACTTTGGAAGACAGCTTTCAGTAATGGAAAGAGGCTAGCTTTAAAGTGCAAAAATCCTACATTAACATTTACTCAGTTCAAAACCACTTGAATCTCAAGTTTGATGCAAAGATTATTTAAAACTGTGTACGCAAGCAATCAATATGGCGCTCAGACTCTTGGAAGGTGTTTCATAATAGCAGATGGACTATGGACATTTTCAATGTCTTTCAT